TTTTCTTCGAAAAGGTGGAATAAAAGTTGGGTTGCGAATATTGAATGCCATGATGAAGATCCATCATCGTTTTCATTTTGCAAAGAGAATTGAAAGATTCCGTTTTTAATTACAAATACTTTGAATTGTAAAGTATTTTACAACTTACGTAAGACTCTACCCGAGTGTGAATATCAAATTAATGCTTTTTCAAACATAAAAAAGAAAATCACACTGAAAAAGCCTCAGGGCATTTCTTGATGCAGTTGGTTCAATTTAGTGCAAGATTATTGACAAAAATTACTCATGGAAAATTGTCTTCCTCAAAAAAAAAGACTCATGCAACGAATTCGTCTCGCGTGACAAAATGTTTTGCCTTTTTATTGAAACATTTGTCAAATTACTTTTTTTTTTAATCTCGGAGGCGAATGATGATTTCTACTATGAAATCAGAAAAATGAATAAGTATTTCGTTCATTTCGAAGAAGTGCTCCACATCAATAATAGTAATCTCAGTTTCTATTGGAAGAAACAGGTCGAGAAAAATAAGCGATTTCTGTTGATTTTGCACCGAGTTTTTATTGGTTCGTCTCTCGGACTTTCCCCAACAAAAATACACGTTCAAAGTGTACATGCGAGTCAATAAATTGCAAAGATATCATAGCGCTGGAAATATTGTATTCACAAGAAAATACTGTACCGTAGTCACAGGTGAAATCTGGCCGCAATAATAAGCTTTAAATGGAACTCTGAAAAACAAGGAACGTCGGTTATAACTAAAAATTGTGCTATTAGCAGCTTATTACGAAAAAACATCTTCTATCAATAAAGGATCATTTATTCGAATCTGAGTTTTTCTCTTCATAAGGAAATACTGTACTGTATAACCAAACAATATAAGAAAGTTCCCCTGCAGAAGTAAGCAAAAGTCTTGTCACACCCGAAAGCAACGTTTCATAAATTTATCAACTTTCATGAACTTTCATGCCATGAATTTTGTATTTTGCTGTGATTAGTAAATTTTGTTTCAGAATCTCTCCCTTAACAGGCAAGAAGAAAAATCGCTGCAGTGCCAGGATGTTCCTGGTATGCCCAACAGGGGCTTAATTGATGAATTCTCAAAATTGTTGGGGCACAATCAACAACCGCCAAAAAAGCAGTTTGTTTCAATGAATCTTGAAAATATGTCATAAGGAAATTCTGGTGAAATACAGCATATGCAAGGTAATTAGAAAAAAAATTTAAAATGAACAATTTGTTCTTTTGGCTGAGTCTTGACAAAATTGTGAGGTTACAGTATTTTGAATGCAGCTGAAAATTGCTACCCTGCACTTTGATTTATATGTTTTGATATACCTGTCAATTGGGATAACAATATGTTTGATTTACAGAAGCAGTGAAATCCCAAGATGCAGACATGATTGGTGCATGAATAGTGTCCCTAAGTTGAAATGTCCTCATGTTGAGTCTTGTTTTCCCATAGACTTACATTATATGATTTTTAACTTGTAATTTATGGAAGAAATATTCATCACAATTCCACAAAAAGTTTGTCTGCTGATTTAAATTGATTCAGTCAATACATTTCAACTCAATAAGAACATTTGGACCATTGAATAATGTACCGCTGTAAAGCATAAAATGTTGGCATCTGTAAAAATAACATTAAAGTCACAAAGAGAGAAGGAAGTCCCTCTATGCAACAGGTAATCTTTTTTTTTAAAGCTGCAATGATGGGAAAAAATGGGAGAAATGCCAAAGAATTTTTCCTACATAGATCTTGAGGATGGAAATATCTATTTCTTGCAATTCAGCCTGATGGAAGTTACTACTTTTTGTGAGACTTATTGGCAATTTTATCATACAATGTCCACATGTTGAGTCAGTGTCTGTATTTTGGGCCTTTTTTATTGGAAAATAAATGTCCTTATGTTGAGGTGTCCGCATGTGGGGGTCTCATAGTACATTGTCTATCTATATTTTATTGCAAACAACATTAAATTTGATTATTGTTGAAGCTAGTTTTCAGGGGCATACAATGTATGTGTTTTAAGTAATAATCCGTTCAAAAATATGGATATTTTGTTTTTTTTTTTAAATTCCTCATGCTACATATTCAAAGGAATTTTCGGTAAAAAATTTACATTTCTGAGAAGCCCTGTGTTTTTTTTTCGTTTTTTTGCTGTTGAAGGAAAAAAAATGCAGTCAAATCTTTCCACAAGAAATCCATTGGCATGATGAAAGAGAAGTTTGAATGATTTTTTGGCCATTTGTCCTTCAGGGAAATGAAGAACAAATTCGTCGCAAGAAATAATCTCGTTACAACGAGATTAAAAAAAAAAGAAATACAGCATAACTGTATGAGTGGGAACCAAAGTGTTGTCCTAAACAGGAAAATACCTTTCCACTTTCGGTTTATCTGGAGTAAGGCGCGGAACATCGGATTCAGAATCGCAAAAAATAAAAATAAAATAAGGAAAATCCCGTGGGTACAACAGAAAGAGAGATTGTGGGTTTTTCTCTGGATAGAACAGAGACGACGTGACGATCGAACTGCGATGCTTCAGCACATTTGCAGTTTCCATCCGAATCAAATCTTTTGCACCACACCCAAGAAGTTCCCTCCGAATATAACCATGTGTAATTCTGAATTTTCAATTCAATGAAAATCGAGTGAAAACATTGAAACCATCAGCGCGAATGTTTTTTTTTTCTCAGTGCGAATCCAAGGGAATTCATGATCAGAATACAGTGCGAGGGTTCTTCTCTTTTAAGGCAACCTCTAATATTTTTACAGTGGGTGGGATTGTAAAAAAATATAAATAAAAATTACATCATGACACAGCCCATGATGTTCTAAAAGATCTGGGATTTTTGTCGGATTTCTAAAAAAAGATTTTCAATTCAGAAACCTCGTTCAACTGGAACAACCCTTCAAATCTTGCTTGTATGAAGACTGCTTTATTCTCGGCAAAATCTACATGAATTAGCAACGAATCTCAGATTTTGAGAATGATTGAGATGAGGAAAGATATCAAGATTTCCAAACATTTTGTGCAATTTTTTTCTCTTGGAAAGTTTATTGTGTGTGTCTCAAGTGAAAATGAGATGCAACCACAGATCAAGTGTGTGTTTTGTGAAATGCAAATCGGTTTAGTGAAGGTATGTGCAAAATTTCCCATAGCAAGATTTTTACAGATTGTTAATTGGCGGAGAACTACGGAACAATCGTTATTTAATCCATTAAAAAAAAAAACATCGCAAGCAGAAAATTGAATATATAAGCATGTACTGCAACTAAGAATCAAATTAACTCATCGCTTTGTTCACTCAAAACGTTTTTAAGGACAAGCTCAATTTGAGTTTATCTCGAATTGCAACGTCCATCTTTTTTCACATGCGCAGGCTCTGTATCCTGATGAAAATTCTGGAAGATGGAGTTTTTACACACGAAAAAAACAATCAACTCCTTCAAGGATAACAGAGACGAAACAAAAGGATGAGCAGACAATTGCTCCTTCTTTTGTTGCACATTTAACGCGAATGGTATGGGTTCACCTTGAATAAAAAAAAGTATTGGTCAAGGTTCTCGAATTTAATTGCGGTTTACGCCCGATTACATAATTCAACTTCGAAGAACTCGTTTTCTTTACAAAATTTGGAAAACGAATGCTTTTTTTGTATTCTGTCTCTTGAAAATCTGGAAGAAGATTCACAACAGGTTGGCGAAACTGTTAATTTGTTTTGATCCTAAGTTCTTTTTTAAAGTAGAAATAGATTTTTTTTCTTAGAAAAAATTGAACAAATTCAAGCAGAAATGGAAAGTATCACTGCAGAAGCAACAAAGTTTCAAAATTCCAAATGATTTTATTCTGTAATCACTGTTACATTCTTGCATCCATTTAATCTGTACTTTTTGAAGCATATACTTTTTAAAAATAAATTTAAATAAATATTTGCTTTTTTTAACTATAAAGGGATGCAGAATTTCAGAAATTTTAATGGAAACAGTGGACAATTTCCAAAATGTAAATTAATTTGTTCTACTGAATCTGGAAAATTTGTTTTGGCAAAGATTTATCTTTTTGCATTCCTCCGAGGACCTTAATGCAGAATTTCAGAAATTTTAATGGAAACAGTGGACAATTTCCAAAATGTAAATTAATTTGTTCTACTGAATCTGGAAAATTTGTTTTGGCAAAGATTTATCTTTTTGCATTCCTCCGAGGACCTTTTAGAAAATTAGTGGATTCTTGGCTAATGAACACAATTCATTTCAGCATTATGTTAGTAAGCTGGATTGTTTCCAATTCAGATACTTCAATAAGGGACATGTCAAGTTTTTTTTTTGCCAACCAATAATACTTTCTGGTCAGATCAGTGTTATCAATACAGTGATGCAACTTCAAGGATGGTTCAATTGTTTGCTGGGAATTTTGTTGGAATGGTATTTGTTTGGCAAGACCACATTGGAAAAGTAAATACATGCAGACTCTGTACAATGATATTGACTTTAAAAAATTCACTGTGGAACACAATCCAAACCCCATCTGTTGATGGGTTTCAAATTTCAAAACCCATCATGATACATTTGTATTGCAAATGAGAAAGGACACAGTTACTTTATTATCGGTTTTACGGAGACCTTTTAAACTCAATATCACCAAAGACTGCTTCCTCTTTCGGAGTACCAATTCCCCTGAAAACTACGTAACAAGTGTTCCTTTTTTAGACAGGAACTTGAAAAAAATTGGTATAGGTGGTACCTTCCAATTTGATCCTAATCAGTTGAACTAGGGTCAACTTAAAAAACAGTTGAATTGCAAGAAAACATCAAATGGCACGTTTTCTACCTGCCATTTGACATATAATGTCTCTCCTCAGATCAAATTGCATGGCAGAGGTCAAATTGAGAGTCAACCTCCCAGAAAATTCAACCGTCAAATTGCAGGAGGTGAAATTGCAAGGTACCACCTGTTTAGGGTTGTATTTGACATTGAGGTTCAACTTGTGACTTGAAAAGCTATCTCTCCATTTCAATTCACAGGGTGTGACAAGAAAAGTATGTGATACTCTTTATGGTGTTGAGAAAAAAAATGCATCAAGTTCATTCATCAAAAGGCGCAGATTCTGCAATGAACACAGTGCTAGTGCCAACAGAGAACAACAGGTGGGTCCTCAATCACCACAGCCACCACCATCAGAAAATGCGACCCGTCAGTCGACCCACCCTGGACCCACTGGACCCTCTTCCAGTGCCCTCATGGACAACGTGGCACCCGGACAACAACAACAGCAGTGCTGCCACCTGCTGGGCACATCACTCCACAGCCTCATCCAAGCCCTATGTGAATAACTCGGCAACCCTGGAAGATTGTTGTGGTGCCACACCAGGGAAAACCTTTTTGGACCTGGATGAAGCCAATAACAAGGAAGAGAGGGATGCCGAAGGTACCATAATCGCTGGGAATGTGGATCCCTCTTCCAGCAGCTCGGCCATCATGCGTTGGTTGGAACAAAAGACACCCACTGAGGACCAGCGAATGTTTGCACAGGGATTTCAGGTAATCCGAAATTTCATACTGATTTTCAAGTCCAGCCAGGCAATTTTTATAATTTTTTTCTTGCGCTTTCCAAATTTTTTTTTTCTGGCTGCAGACATAATTGAGTGCTTTGACCTGCACAATTTAACAAAGGTAAAAGACATCTCCACCATGGAGTGTTAAGTTGGAGGACCATAAGTTGACAGGACGTTAAACTACCATTTTAAACGTCCCTCCAACTGAACACTAAACGGGGAACGGGGTATTAAACTGCTGCTTTTTTCAAATTTTTTTTTCATTTTTGTACTTATATTTTGAATTTGATGGAGTGTCTTGCACTTTGGCCAATTTTCAATTTGACCCTAGTTTGGCAATGGATTAGGATCAACTTGTGAGGTACCACATGTATAAGTGTCTCTTCCAGTCAGAATTTTAAATTCTTTCAAGTCTTCGTGAAATTTCAGTTTTTTCTATTGTTTTACTGTGTTACTTCAGATTAAATCTGTCTGCAAGAAACTTATGAGGATCTTAGAAAATGTGCCAAAACAAAATTAATCTTCAAAATATGGATGTTTTTCCAGAATTGGAGATTAATTTCTCCAACAGCAATTGATGAAATTAAATTTCAAAATATGAATGCTTTTAGACTCAGAGATCAATTTCTTGAAAACTAATTAACTTTCTGGCCATGTACCAGAACCTTCATGCGTATAACTTAACATTTTCCATCAGCAATGTGATCATTTGTCACACATGAAAAGTAAAAATGTTTTCCCATGCAGTAAGAAAAAATCCACACAAAGCTGTTGTGCTTATTGAAGTAGTCTGTGATCTTCTTTTGAGTTACATTTTTGACTATCATTCTTGCAAGGATTGGATTTTAATTGTAAACTGCTACTTTTAGATCTAAGAATGAATATTACAGTAAACTTTGTCAAATCCGTTGATTCAAAAATAAATTACGGATGTACCACTCAAACAATAAACTTGTTCCAACAATCCTTGAGAATTCTTATAATCAGACTTTTGAAGGATTAAATCTGCAAAATTCGTATAATGGGGACATTGAAGCATTTCTTTTTAAAAACATATCATTATATAAAAAATTGATTTTTATTTGGAAAGATAGAATAAGCATGAGGTTTCTAATGGATATTTTCAGACAAAACAATTCGTTTATGCTCATTTTGAACTCGGATTTGTTAAAGCCCTTCTGTGCGTTTAAATAGCATAAAGAATTGAATCTCAAGCATTGGATTATGTGTAGCTCTCCTGCAGAGCATAAGTTTCAATTCGAAACATCTGAAGAGAAAAATTGAAACGTGATCCAGATAATAGAAATGCAAATTTGCACAGCTAATGGGACCTTTTGCTTCATGCAATAATTCTCATAAGGATATATGATAGCCATATGCTCTTCATGGCATAAACATAAATTATTTCCTATTCCATATGGAAAATTGCAAGAAACTACTTTTGTGGAAAAATAAACTCTCGTTTATTTGAGAAGACTATTGGGACCTCGATGAAATTAATTTTCATGTCTTCGCAAAGACGTTTTTGACATATGGTAAAATTAATGAGACTTCGCCTCATATATGATCCATGAGATGAAACGCAATTATATTTTGTTGTCAGACACGACGCATTTATTCATGATAATTTATCAGCAAACGTTTTAATCTCTTTAAGGTCTGGGATATTTGGGTGCAAATAACGGGAGAATTTTTTCTTACTTTACTTTTGAAAAGGGTAATCTCGAACATTCTTTAATGGACTGGACAAAAAAAAATTAGCTGCGAATGAGAAAGAGAATGTAGTAAACCTTTAAACAAGATTACGTGAAAGGAGCAGCTTATTTACAAGTTTCTTTCAAGGAACTGGAAATTGGAAATGCACTTCCATGGATTGTTCTAATCTAATACTGTAGTTTCAATCTAGTTTTTTTCTTCTATTTACAGTGTGCGCATCAGAATATATTACCATATTTACTCAAGTACCACACACCCTTGAGTAAGGCATGCACACAGGGGTTTTTCAGTTGGAAATTTTGCTAAAATCTTATCCCAGAGTAAAACGCGCACCCCTCTTTTTAGTGAATCTGAAACCACAAAATTTTGAAAATAAAAACAAAAAATTGACTTTAGACATGAATTGAACAAAAATCTGATCAATTTTCAACTGTTTCGGTACAAAAAAGTTTTCTTGTTACATTTGTTCCAAATTTCGCCATTATATAATTGAGTATAATGCATACATAACTTCCTAAAACTTCTTGGAAAATTTGTACCTGCTTATGACGTGCACCCCTTTTTTTCTTCTGAAATTTGAGAAAAAGGGCTACATCCCTTTAAGTAGGCAGGTGTATACAAATTGTAGCCAATTGAGTCAAGCAGAGTCATAAACACAAGACAATGAGTGTGCAAATAGATTTATAATTAAGTAAACTAAAAACAAGTCAATCACCTGTATTTAGAAAGAGGATAAAATGAATGATGCGGCATTATAAACACAGAATAAATGAAAAAAACACATCCTCATATATAATTTCTTAGTTGTTTTATCAATTGAAACATTTCAGGATACATGCTCAAAAGCTGTGTTTTGATTTGTGCTCAGTAATTGCCTCATCGTGTGATGTTTGTCATTTAAAAAATAATAATGATTTTTATGTACCTGTATTATACTGTAGTTTTACTTTCTGTAAATAACAATATGGTGTATTATTTTTGATAGGCCAGAATATTCATAATGGATGTTTGTTTATGGGGATTGCAACAATTTTTGGCAAAATCTGACAAAGCTACACATAAAGCTTTTAAATCAATATTAATCAACAGCTGAAGTTAAAATATGCCACTGCTGATCTTCATTTTGCACAATTACTTTCTGCGTCTTTTTCAAGTAGCATAAAAAATTAGCACTGCAAGATTCATCTATTGGGCTCAAAAGGCCTCAATATAATTTGATGTCAAGTATTTAATTGATCAACAATAAAACAAGTTGGTCAGTCCAGGACAGGACCGGGATTCCATTTCAGAATTCCTACCTTAAAGGGATAAACTGTATTTCACACAAGTATAAATGAATAAACAACTCAACAAGCTCAACTTGCAGGAATAAGCTTGAGAATAACTTGGATAACACAGTTGAACTGAACTGATCTGATTATATTAATAGAGGAGCTGCTTATATATGGCAAATAATAATTAACCTTCATAAGGATTTACTTTACAATCAGAATAGGAAAAGTTATCATCCATGAGTTCCTGGCACTGCGATTTTGAGGAGGGAGGGGGGGGGGAAATACCTTTTACTTCTAGGAATCGAGTACACTAGAGTATTTTACTGTACACGGCGTGCATGCCCAACATCATCCAAGGCATATCAAGAAAACCACCCAATTTCAATCAATTGTTTTCTTGTTCTTCTTTTTCTTAAATAATAAACTGCAGGAGGCCTATCAAGACGTGGTGAAACGCGAAAGGAACCCGTCCACTTCCACGACACCGACGACAGCCGGGTCAGCCTGCCTAGTGTCGAGCAGTGACGACACTTCCCCGCAATCCTCTCGACTCATGGACGATTTCGGGTGTCGTGAAGTCCCTTCCTCGTCGTCGACGCAACAGTCGAGAACCGACACTGAGCTTATTCACACAGTGGTCGCTGCCGACTCGAATCCCATGTTGAGCAAAGAATTCCTCCTCAACCACGCAATTGTCAAACGGGAAGTGGAAGACTTTGACAACAACGAAGAAGAAGAAGATAACGATAATGACGATGACGACGACGGTGAGGATGACGAGGAGGGTGCTGACGATCGACTCCGGATCTCGACCAGCAGGACCCTGGCTACGGGCGGCAAAGTTTACTTGGGGGTTCAAATGGACCCCACTAAGAACCCAACACTGAGGCTCAGTCACCACAGGGTACGCCATCATGGTGGCAACAACAACAACAACAACAAGAGGGCAGTGATTGACAAGCGGTTCAATTTGAATCGTGGTCCTTTGCCATTGGAGCTGCTGAGTGAGGAAACTGCGGCCAAAATCGAAAAGTAGGTTATCCTGGTATAAAATAATACAAAAAATCTTCTCGCAGTTCATGGAAAAAATACTCAATTTGAGTGTCGATCTATTCTTCTTTGATGAGAAAATAGAATCACTGTTCCAAAGAGCCCAAGTAACAAAAGGTATCAGGATATTGAGTGTTAGCTTTAAAAAAATTCTCCTCAAATATTATTTCTAGAAAATATTAGCTATTTTTTAAAGGGTAGCAAGTTCATTTAAAAATATGCAATTTGAGCATTGATCGATTCTTCTTTGATGTGAAAATTGAATCACTGTTCCAAAGAGCCCAAGTAACAAAAGGTACTTTTCAAAACCTTAAAAGGTCATATCAGGATATTGAGTGTTAGCTTTTAAAAATTGTATCCTGAAATATTATTTCTAGAAAATACAGTATTAGCTATTTTTAAAGGGTAGCAAGTTCATTTAAAAATATGAAATTTGGGCATTTATTGATTCTTCTTTGATGAGAAAATTAAATCACTGTTCCAAAGAGCCCAAGTAACAAAAGGTACTTTTCAAAACCTTAAAAGGTCATATCAGGATATTGAGTGTTAGCTTTAAACAATTTCTCCTCAAATATTATTTCTAAAAAAGTCCTAGCTATTTTTGAAAAAAATGATAGCAAGTTCATTTAAAAATATGCAATTTGCGCATTGATTGATTCTTCTTTGATGAGAAAATTGAATCACTGTTCCAAAGAGCCCAAGTAACAAAAGGTACTTTCCAAAATCTTAAAAGTCCAAATCAGGATATTGAATGTTAGCTTTAAAAAATTTATCCTGAAATATTATTTCTAGAAAATACAGTATTAGCTATTTTTAAAGGGTAGCAAGTTCATTTAAAAATATGAAATTTGATCATTGATTGATTCTTCTTTGATGAGAAAATTGAATCACTGTTCCAAAGAGCCCAAGTAACAAAACGTAATTTTCAAAACCTTAAAAGGTCATATAAGGGTATCGAGTGTTAGCTTTTAAAAATTTCTCCTCAAATTTTATTTCTAAAAAAGTCCTAGCTATTTTTGAAAAAAGGATAGCAAGTTCATTTAAAAATATTCAATTTGAGCATTGATCAATGCTTCTTTGATGAGGAAAATTGAAACAATGTTCTTAAGATCCCAAATAACAAAAGGTACTTCCCAAAATCTTAATAAACCATATCAAGATATGGAGTGTTGGCTTTAAAAAATTTATCCTCAAATATTATTTCTAGAAAATATTAGCTTTTTTTTAAAGGGTAGCAAGTTCATTTAAAAATATGCAATTTGAGTATTGATCGATTCTTCTTTGATGATAAAATTGAAACAATATTCTTAGATCCCAAAAAACAAAAATTACTGTTCTTCCCAAAATCTTAATGAACCAGATCAAGATATGGAGTGTTGCTTTAGGCACTTTATCCTCAAAAATTATTTCCAAGTTGTTTCATCAGTTCTAAAATATCAGGAGACAGGCTGAAAAACCTGTGTTTTGATTTGTGCTCAGTAATTGCCTTGTTGTGTGATGTTCGTCATTAAAAAAAATAGAAAAATGTTTATGCATTTTACTGTGGTTTTATTTTCAGTGAACAACAATATGGTGTACAGTGGGCCCCCGACTTACGACGGGCCCATGTTACGTCGGTTTCATCATACGACAATTTTTTTTTAATTAAAAAACCCCCGACTTACGTCGGGGTTTCATGATACGACTATAAAAGCCCTTCAATTTTCCCAACTCCAGTCTTCCTCTCGTTTCCAACGACTGAAAAAGCCAGTAGCAATGGAATTATTCCTGCAACATCATTTTTTCCTATTCCTCCCATTCAGTCATCAACAATACTAGGCATTTGGTAGTGCGGATTGTGAGTGAAAATGTATTTCTTTGGGCGTATTTAAAAAAACACTCCATTCAAAAATTGTAGAACTTAAGCAGACTCAANTTTCTGGAACGAATTAAATTTTTTATAATGTAACCTTAAGGGAAATAGGGTTTCAACTTACGACGACCCCATGTTACGACGTCCATCCTGGAACGGATTGATGACGTAAGATGGGGGCCCACTGTATTATTTCTGATAGGCCAGAATATTCATAATGGATGTTTGTTTGTGGGGATTGGAACAATTCTGGCAAAATCTGACAAGCTGCACATAAAGCTTTAAAATCAAATAATCAACAGCTGAAGTTAAAATATGCCACTGCTGATCTTCATTTCGCACGATTACTTTCTGCTGCTTTTTCAGGTAGCATAAAAAATTTGCACTGCAAGATTTATCCAAGGAATATCATGAAGTGCAAAAAAACTGCAGTTTCAAATCGGATATAGCCAGATTAATTCTTGAAAAAGAATATATACCTCCCAAGTTTTACTACTATTAAATATTTGGCAGTTGATTTCTTGAATCACTTGTTCTTCAAAAAAAAATATTTTACGTCCAGTTGCTAATCTTTTCTTCCGGCGGCCTGACGTTGCTAATTAAAGGTTGAAACCGAAAGAAAATGTTGAGAATTCAATTAAATCATCTCAGGAAACATGTACATATTTCAGAAGAATTTCGAAAAATATTCCGAACCGGAAAAACAGAACTCGACGAGGGATAAAAAAAATTGAAAAAGCCTCAGGGTAATTAACGGTAATTATCACAGCAATTTTTCGTAAGTACTCGTATATTGATTAAAAATTGACTAATTTTGACCAAACATCCAAGAGGATTGCGATTTTATTTTCTGTGGAAATCAAACAATTCCCCAGGATATCGTTCATACCTTGGCATAATTTTCGCAAACATACTTAATTACTCGTTTCGGAAGACGGGAATTTTCCGACATGGGGTCAATCAAGGAAAAATGCTAATTACAGTAATACCCCGCCAGAAAACGTTCTACACATTCTAATCATTCTTCTCTGGCAATAGATCGCATCTTGCATTTGCGTAAACAACTTGAAAAATGTCAAATATTCACGATCTGACCTTGGATGATATGAAGACAAATCGTGACGCCAATATAAAGACAGTTGAAGTAAACCAACAGTGATCAGATCTGTGGAATCCAATTAACCCCGGATGATGTAAGTCAACCGAACGGACGTGATTAATATCTTTTGACCCGGTTTTGATATTTTTTGATTGACGTAATTTTCCTCGGAAAAGGGAATTATGTCAAAATTAAGATGTTGTCTTGGATTGCTGATTTATTTAATACGTTTTTTTAGCTTGACACAAATTCGGCTTAATCAGCGGCACTCAAAATAAAATTTTCAACATCCCGAAATCGAACTCATCCCAACGTTTGCGTCCCACAAGAAAAAAAATATATATCTGTTTTCCCAATAAGGAAAGGGTTTAAAGCTCATTTTTAAAGTGCTAATTGAATTTCGTTCGTGGCAACGATTGTGCGATGAAATGTTCTCAAGCTGGACATTCGATCACACAAATTGTCACTTGCTTGAACTCGGGGTTCATTGTTGTGAAAACCCCCCAAGGGGAAGAAGGCCAGGGGGTTGACGTAGGGTGGGCTGAGGGATATAATGACCTCAACCCCTCAGGGGGTCAGTGACAATGAATCACCATTTGATGACTCATGTGGTAAAGCCTTCTATTTTTAGGAAAAGTTTACCTCGTCTGCCTGATAACGATATCCGAACTCCAAAGAGAGAAAAATGATACAAATTAAAATTTTAAAAACCTGTGTTGAAACCCTGTACGAACGAGGGTTCTAATAAAAATTTCTCGGAATAGAAATTAAAATGGCATATAATTGAGCTGAAAAAAATTTTATTCTTTAGGGAAAACATATTCTTTGGAACAAAGAAAAAATCAGCCCCGTTTGACAAATTTTTTTGAATGTTTTGCAAAATTCACCCTATGGCCAAGTTTTGCTCTCCACTCGAAACATGAGGCGTCGTTTCAAAAAAAAATTTCAAACGAGGCTGATTATTGAAAATATTATTCTTTAGGGAAAAAATATTCTTCGGTGGAAAGAAAAAATCAGCCCCGTTTGACAAATTTTTTTTGAATGTTTGGCAAAATTCACCCTATGGCCAAGTTTTGCTCTCCACACAAAACATGAGGCGCCGTTTCAAAAAAAAATTTTCGAACAGGGCTGGTTTTTTTCTTTGTGCCAAAGAATATGTTTTCCCTAAAGGATAATTTTTTTCAGCTCAATTATGTGCCATCTTAATTTACATTCCGAGAATTTTTGTTAGAACCCTCGTATAGAAAAAAAACCTGGGTTTCTTAGGTTTTAAAAAGTTATGTTTCGGGTCATTCGGGCTTCGAGAATTTCCGGCATTTTTAGACGGAGACTGAAAATTGCTTTCAAAGAATTATTCGCCTGATGAGCTTTTCTTTCGACCGTTCGATGACTCATATGTGGCAAACCGTTTTTTTTTATTTTTTAGGACGAGTTTCCCATTTTTTTCTTGACGATTTTCCCGTCGCCCGATAAAAAACAGAAACGAAGACTGTATCGGAGTTTTAACCTTGCACAGTATTCACACGAAAGTATTTTTCAATTTTAATTTTTGAAACTCTTGTTCCAAGTCTTTCAAGCTTCTATAAGAAGTACAGTACAGTACTGGAATTTCTAGCCCGGTGAGACTGAAATAAAAATCGTCGAATTATTATTATTGTCATGGTAATTGAGATTTAGTATTTAATCTTTTCGATCTTTTTCTGATTAAAAAATATGTGTCAATTTTCCGACGCGCAGTTATTTTTTAAACCCTGGTCTCTTGAATTTTTGTGGAACTAAAATTTCATTTTCTGTGTCGCAATTTTAGAATTAACGAAATTTAATCTGTATCAGCCTTATTGTCTCAAAATTTTAAAAAATTTAAATTTAAATAATGAAATTATCGGAAAATTGTCGATGGAACCTTTTTCGAGCAGCTAATCTTCAATTTCGAATATCAACTAAAACCTGAAATTTCTGAAAGCGACCCAGGTTTCACAGTATTTCGCTGAAGGATTCTATGCAAGTATTGTATCGTGAAATTTACTAATTTATT